AAAAAAATTGTCCAAAAACCAAAAGGCAAACACTTCTTCCCTTTCCTACAACTAGAAAGCCTTAAATTTAATAATTAATATTTTATAATTATAAAATATTAAAATTTGATAAAAAATTTGTCCAAAAATCAAAAGGCAAACACTTCTTTCCTTTCTTACAATTGGAAAGCCTTAAATTTAATAATTAATATTTTATAATTTCAACTAAAAACACTTTTTTAATTAAAATATGGTGTTTTCTGAATACTAAAGTAAGCATTAAGCAATGTTTAAAAAAATTATTTTTTAATAAAATGTGAAAAAATATATATATTTACAATATCTCTGAAATTGGAATACAATTAATAAATGTCTCTTGGGGTCTTTGTTTGCATTATGGTTGTGGGTTTCACTCTACGTAATTGGCAGGTTTTTCTTCAGTTTTCTTTTCCTAAATTTTTTATTGTATTTATATTGTGATATATTGTCCGTTATATAATTGTATCCTATCTTATAGTCTATATAAAAAGATAAAATTAAAAAAAATTAAATAACCAATAAAACTTTATGCTAATTGATAGAAAAATATAAAGGTTGAGACCTCTCAATTTTAACTGTAATACTTTGAGCATGTTTAGTTAAATTTTCAAGTGCTTTAATTTTTTGACATTATTCATATTTTATAAATTTAAATTTCTCTTTTAAAAACTTATATTTTTAAATTTTTTTAACTTTAAAAAAACTTCAAATAGTAAAAATTTAAAAGTTTGAAATCTAAATTTTTCAAAAACTCTCTTTTTACTTACTTTTTCTTATCTCTAAAAATAATTTTTAAATTTTTTTCTTCAATAAAAATTTAAATTTATCACTCATAAATAATATAAAAAAAAAATCTAAATTTTTCAAAAACTCTCTTTTTACTTACTTTTTCCTATCTCTAAAAATAATTTTTAAATTTTTTTCTTCAATAAAAATTTAAACTTATCACTCATAAATAATATAAAAAAAAAAACTTTTACAAACTAACCCAAACATACTCTTTGTTTGGTTGGCCACCTCTTAAAAAAAATATCAAAAAAGCTGATCAAAATTGAACATTACTTCACTTAGGAAATTTAATTTCTTGATATGTAAATTAAGATACAATATAATTAATTGTAAAAAAAATAATGCATTATATTTAATTTAATTTTATAATATAATAAATTATCTTAGAAAATAAATTATTAGATTAATATAATTAATTATTTTTT